CCTACAACTTCCACTTGAAGCAGGAGGCCATGTTCCCAGAGGGCAATTACTCCTACTCTCCTTAGAGTTCTAGGGGTCACCTGGAGGGTAAGGTGTTTCTAGTACTGTTGCTCATGAGCCCCCACTGAAGTGCTGCCTATTGATCATCAGACAGAGTTAATTAGCTTTTAGAAAGGGTATTTATTAAGCAGGTATAGCAAGGAAAGTTGTTACATAAACATTTCCCCCAAACAGGGCTTCACTGTCCCCTTGCACACACTAGGTACCTAGGGAGACTGGGCTCAGATTGAGATAACTCATGGGACCAGAAGGTAAACTCACAACTCGTCAGTACAAGAAGCCCTTTTTTCTCTTTGTGGAGTCCTAATGATGTTCTCCATAGGTGTAGCTCTTTGCTGGGTCCTGAGGGTTAGTGCCACTATAAAGAGTCCTGAAGCTACCTTTCTTCAATAGTTTGTCCTTGGTGTGTCACTCAGCACCCAGGGCAGCCACTGCTGGACTCTAATGACAGAAACTCTAGATCTTCTGGCTTTTCAAAGTCAGTAAGTCAGTAAACATCTATTAAGTACCTACTATGTGCCAGGCACTGTGCTAAGATAGTTTCTTGGTCTGGGGAGAGGACTAGTAGAAGAGAGAGATTCAATTCATTCAATTCTCCTGCCTCAATTTTTTTCTTAGAAGGCCTCCACCACTGGGTTCAGTCACTACATGACTCACTGTGGCTAGCCTTTGAACTGATTTGCTATGCCATATATTGGCCCTGTAGTGTTTCTGATTCTTTTAGCCCACCACAAGACATTTTCTGTAGAGCTCATCTGTCTTCATTCAATGAACAAAGAATTTCCTTCCTCCTTTTTATTAAAAGTGTTATTAAAGTTTTTTTCCACCAAGTTTTCCAATTATACTCTAACCCATGTCTAACATTAGCTCTAACCCATGGAACCCCTATACTCTTGACTGATTGATTAAATCCAGGTCTGTTAGCCTTCAGTGATTACCTTGATTAAGGTAGGGATGGAATAGTATGAAATACCTTATTAAATTCTTTGCTGGACTCTAAATAAACTCAGTGCAGCCAGGTGGCACAGTGAATAGAGTGCTGGGGCTGGAGGCAGGAAGACCACAGTTTAAATCTGGCCTCAGACACTTACTAGCTGTGTGACTCTGGGCAAGTCACTCAGCCCTGTTTGCCTCAGTTCTCCAGTATCTTTGCCCAAAAACATCCAAATGGGATCACAAAGAGTTGGATATGAGTCAACAACAACAACACATAAACTCTGTTGACAGCATTCCTCTAGTCTACTTGTTTTTGTTTTTTCCTAAATTTTTTTTGTTTGTTTTTAGGCAATTGGGGTTAAGTGACTTGCCCAGGGTCACACAGCTAGTGAGTGTCAAGTGTTTGGTCTGAGGCCGGATTTGAACTCAGGTCCTCCTGATTTCAAGGCCGGTGCTCTATCCACTGAGCCACCTAGCTGCCCCTCTGGTCTACTTGTTTAGTGAAACTGTTACAAAGGGAAAGAAGTTTTAGCTTGGCATGATGCGGAAGCCTCAGTCAGGCTGACTTGTTGTCATCAGAGAGTATAAGCCATCTCTTTAATGATCTGTCCTAGAAGTTTTCCAGGAATCAAAGTCAAGCTCCCTGGCCTAGAGCTGGTAGACAGCTTCTTGCTGAAAAGAAACTTCTTGACATTGTCACGTGGTTCAACATCAGAAACTAATATGATTTTTTTAGCAGAAATGACGGTAGAGAGGAGGCATTACTATCTGCTTTGTTGCTGTGGGTTGGCTGCTGTCCTCTGTTCTCAATGACATGGCTCTGTCAGAGTCAAGGTACAACGTGTCTTCTGTGGCTGATCAGACCAGTACTAACTCAGAAGGTTCTGCCACAGGTTGGACACAAATAGTCCATATGAACATTTAAAGTGGAGATGTCTCTAAATTTGTGCATCTCACATTTCTTCTGAGCTACTTTGATTCTGCTTCACTCATAGAGCACAGAGCCTTCTTTAATGTGGGCATGCCATGCTGGGCCGTCCTTTGCCAGCCTCTCCCATGTCTCACAATTGATTTTGGTGGGCAGGCTAATACCTCTTCTCTCCCACACTTTCCTTTGGAGCCTCCCAAATACTGAGCTAGCTCTGGCAATGTCTGTGTCAACCTCATTGTCTGTGTGTACATCCCTGGAAAGTATACTGCCACGCTAAGTGAACTTATCCACATTATTTAAGATTTCTCCATTTGCTGGAACTGATGGTTTCACTTACGGATGGTGTGGTGCTGGCCAGTGAAGAGAGTGTGTTTTCTTGGTGTTAATTGTTAGGCCAAAATTAGCACAAGCAGCAGAGAATCAATCCATACTTTGTTGCATCTCAGTTTCAGAGGCTGCATTGGTGTACAATCATTTGCAAACAAAAAACTCATGTACCAACTTTCCTTCCATTTTAGTCTTGGCTTGTAACTTTTTCAAGTTAAATACTTTACCATCAGTGCAGTAGTTGGCCTTGATGCCATTTTCCTCCTCATTGAAAACATCTGACAACATTGCTAAAAACATCATGCCAAAAAGCATGGGAGCAAGCATACCTCCCTGCTTCACTCCACTGGTGACAGAGAAGGGACATGAGCATCACCCATTATCTAGAACCTGGGCAAATATGCTGTCATGAAATTGATCTACTATACTGGTGAACTTCTCTGGGCAACTGAATTTTGACATAATTTTCCACCAGCCCTCATGACTGACAGTATCATAGGCAGATCGAGGGATCTTGTGTACAGACCTCTGTTCTGTTCCTGGTGTTTCTCCTAGAGTTGATAGATGACCGTCTTCTAGGCGAAGGATCAGCCTATTAAGGAGGACTCTCTAAGTCATGTGCTGCTGTACCCTAGTACCAAGGGACGTTTCCATGTAACTTGTAGCTGAAACCTTCCCCATCAGAATGTAAGCTCCTTCAGAACAGAGTCTGACTTTTCTGTTTGAATCTGAACACTTAGAACGTTGCCCACAGAAAGCATTTGAGGAATGCTGTCGTTGTTTTAATTGTTTCAGTCATGTCCGACTTATTTTCTTGGCCGAGATACTGCAATGGTTTGCCTTTTTTTTCTCCAGCTTATTTTGCAGATGAGCAAACTGAGGTAAATGAGCTTAAGTGACTTGGTCAGGGTCTCACAGTTGGTAAGTGTCTGAGGCTGGGCTCTATCCACCGTTCCACCTAGCTGCCCAATGAATAGTATGTTCATTCAAAGTGCTGGGAATACAGATTTTTAAAAAAGAGAGAGTTCCTGCACTCAAGGAGCTCCATTTCTGCTTGGAGAAGATAATCAATATTGGGCAATGGTGATCAGGGAAGGTTTTGTTCGGGGAGGTGAAAAGGGAATGCGGTGAGGGGCATTGCAGACAGTGAGACAGGAGGCATGGATGGCTGGGTAGGCAAAGCTGAAGCACGGTCTGGTGTCTAGGCCCAGGCCATGGATAGAGAAGTCTGCAGGCAGAGCTCCAGGCAGAAGAGCACTTACCTTCTCCAGGCACTGGGGACCATGGAGTCTGGAGGGTCAGCGGGAAGATAATGGTCCAAGTGTGGAGGAACAGATCAGGAGTGTCAGGCAGAGGGCGAGATGGGCCCTGAAAGGTCAGTGACTTGACCAGGACCACACTCCCAACACAAGTCAGAGAGGAGACTTGAACCCAGGTCTTCCTCAATTCAAGGCCAGAGATCTACCAACCCTTGTACTCCTGGGGAACACAAAAGATACTTTGTATTCTGGGGATACAAACACAGTGCTTGGGCTGCTGCTGGTTACATTTTAATAAGGGTCAGAGGTGGGAGAACAGTATGTGCATACCTAAGTTGTTAACACCATTGTGTAGTCAATAAATTGTATATATGTTTATATATTATGTATTTATCTAATAGATTACATATATGTGTGTATATGTGTGTGTGTGTGTATGATGTAAAGTATGAGTAAACACAAAACATTGGCTGAATAAATTTAAAGTCATTTTACAGAATGGGCCTTGCGTAGGGCACTTAGCAAGAAGGGGGGCCTACCTAAGTGGGCCGGGTGGGTGCCAGAGATGCCTGATCAGTGTCAAGAGAGCTAAGGGCCCCCTCCCTGGTGGGCTTCCCCCCAGCTAGAGATTCCTTGGGAGGACATAACTAAGATGGAAGGTGTTGGTGGACTATGCTCACCTGCTGAGTGCCCCTGGTGGGGGTGGCCCCGTGGCCAGAGCAGGGGGAAGATTTCAGGGGCAGCCTGGCCAGAGCGAAGGGGACGAGTTTGGGGGGGAGGGGGGGGGGGGGGGGGAGGAGGGAGCTGGGGTGCCCCTATTGCCCTCAGGGAGCTTCAGATCTCTGGAGGGGTGGGAGTGAAAAGCAGAATAAAAGCCCCAGAAACACTGTCTGTCCCCTGGAGCAGGGAGGGGACACCTGGTTAAGGATGTCAGGTGATGGGCTCGGAGGGAGAGAGAGAGAGATAGAGAGAGAGACAGAGACAAAGAGAGAGGAAGGGAGAGACAGAGACAGAAAAACAGAGATACAGAGGAATAGAAGGAAAGAGAGGGAGAGACAGAAAGACAGACATAGAGAGACAGAGACAGAGAGACACAAAGGGACACACGGAGAGACAAAGGGAGAAAGGGAGAGAGACAGAGAGAGGGGAAAGGAGAGACAGAAAGACAGAGAGCCAGAGCCAGAAACAGAAACAGAGAGGAATAGAGGGAGAGACAGAGAAACAGAGACAAGGGAGCTTCTAGAGGGAGGGAAGGGAGAAAGAGAAAGACAAACACAGACAGAGACAGAAAGAGAGAGGGAGACAGAGAGAGAAGGAGAGAGACAGAGAGATGTGCTCAAGAGGAGGCAGCCCCCACCTCCCTATACCGGGTCTCCAGCCTTGTCTCGGGCTGACGTCACTGTCCTGGGGCTGGAGCAGTAGAGAGGGAGGCCTCCCGCGGCTCAGAGCGGCTCCGGGTGGCCTAGAGAGGCCCGGGGGGGGGCCGCCCAGGGCGCAGGCGCCGCCCGGCTGGCCCCGCCCACTCAATGGCGGCCCCCAACAGCAGCCACGGGACAGGCTTCCTGGAGACCATGGAGGCGGAGGAGGAGGGGGGCTTCGCGCCCTCGGCCCTGGGGACCCGAGAACAGTGAGTGCGGCGCCCCGGGGCCACTGCGGGGACCCACCGCCCCTCATCCTCCCTCTCCTCTCCCCCCAGCCCTTTAGTTCGGTAAAGCCGCTCTGAGGGCCGCCCGCTGCCCCCCCCCCCCGGTTTCTTCGTCCACCGCGTGCCGGCTCGTGCCGGGCTTCCGGAAAGGCCGGGCGGGCTCTCCAGCCGCTCTCTCCGGTCCCCTTCCTGCCTCTCCTCCGACGGTCCCCAGCCCTGGTGGCTCCTGGACCCCTGACTGCGCTGGGGGGCGGCGCGCAGGCTCCGTGGCTTTCCGTGGGGTCCCGGGCGCTCAGCCCGTGCTGGGCACAGGGTGCCTACCCCGCCCCCGCATTCCTCCCTCTTTCGGGGCCGAGCGACCTCGCTCCCCTCCGGCCCCGGCCCTCCGGGGACTAAACCTCAGGCTTTGCACACCTTCAGCAGCCCTTCCCGAGAAGGCTTTGCGTTTGTCGTGTCCTGGCCTGAGGCTTCGTTATTTTGTGAACTAAGACCAAGAACATGTCCTGTATCTTCTTTCTTACGTAGTTGGGATGCTGTCTACGAAAGAGAACTGCAGGCTTTTCAAGAATGTGGAGATTCGGGAGAAATATGGTAAGTGTCTTTAAAAAGGGATTCTGACCCAAACAAACTTTCCTTCAAGTGCGGAACGAACGGTTCTCAAGAAGGCAGTGTCTGTGAATGAGCGTTAGATTTCTGGACTTTGGGTCGGCAGGCGCAGAGGAACAGTGGGGGTCTTTGCCCAAGATAGAGGGCCCCTCAGATGCTTGTCCGTTACCAAAGCCCATTTCCGTGCGGGGCATCGGCTCTCAGTAACTCAGCAGGCCCCGGCCTGACTCCGCAGTCTTCTTTCGGGGCACCCACCTCCGCGGATGGTCCCTGCAGACTGGCCTGGTTTCCTTCTTCCTGAAGTCCTCCTCTCCAAAACCGGGTTCTATTGCTTTAATTTGTGTCTGCCCTTGTAAGGACCTGTTACCTTCCTTGATTGAGTGAAGATTCTTGAGGACAAGGACCGTTTGGCTTTTGTCTTCCTATGGTCAGGGCTTGTGGATCAGGTGATTGATTAAATACAAACTCCTCTGCCATTCAAAGTCCTGACCTCCCCTTTCCAGGCTCCTTAGACTGACCATATTCCTGTTCTTGTCTCCCTGCTGGACTGGGTGCTCTCCTTCCTCACCTCTGCCACGCAGCTTGTCCTGGTCCTTCAGCTCCTAGTATGTCCCCTTCATCATAGGGATCTTTATTTCTTTTGTTAGGTACTTGGATGTGTATATGTTGACTTCCCAGACAGACTGTAAGCCCCTTGAGGATGGGGACTATTTAATTTTTTTTCTTTTGTATTCTCAGAACTTTGATCAGGGCCTGGCCCCACAGATGCGTAATGGATTGGTAAGATGGCCTTAGTGTCTGAGATGCCTAGAGTCTCGCAAATCTAATGAATTGGGTTTTAAAGCCAAAATGAAGGGCAACAGTGGCTATTCGTATGTCTACAAAGCTGGTTGGTTACTATGGTTAATAGTTGCAATGTCAGAAGAACAGCAGTAGAGATGATGGGAAATTTACAGAATACAAGGTCTAAGAAAGCCAGCGTTGGCACCCATGACCTTAGATGCCTGTATTCTAAGAATGAAAACCATAAATCCTAGTGCAAGGAGTCAAGTGGCCTCTGAGGCAGCGTGGGCTAATGGAGTCAGGAAGACGCAGATTCAAGTCTTACCTCTGACAAATACTGTCCTGGACCCTATGCCAATGACTGAGCCTCTCAGTATTCCAGGGAGCTTTCTAAGATTTCCACGTTGTAGGTACATTGGCAGAAGGAGGGTTTCTAACACAGAACCAGGGAAAGAAAGGGCGTGGGCAGATTTTTGGAGAGAGGACTCGTGACTGTGATGTCGCTTTAGGATGAGGTGCTAGAGAAGAGCAGGGTCTGTAGGGGGAGGATGTAGGTGGAAGAGCAACAAGAGAGAGTTTGTTCAATGAACAAACAAAAATCTGTTTCTTCAAAAATCTGTTGGGGAAAAAAAGCTTGTAACAAACATGTACAGTCAAGCAAAACAAAATTGCTGCCTTGACCATGTCCAGCAAACATTTTTATCAAATTCTGCTTGCTGAGTTTGTCATCTCTCCGTCAGGGATGCGTAGCGTGCTTCGGTCTTCAGTCGGAATTGTAGCTGGCTGTGATAGCAAACACATTTTAAAAAAGATATAGTCATGAAGAAATCCAGGAATCAGAGGGGAGAGAATTTCTGTAAAGATCAACAGAGAGAGGCAGAGACAGACTGCTGTGCCTGGCATGGATTACAGACCACCTCTGTGGAGAGAGGTACTAGATGAGGACTTTGGGAACTTACAGTAGTGATGGAGGGATGGGAGAGCTCTCTGGACTTCGGTGGAAGCTCCTTCTGTGAAGAGAGGAGCAACTGATTGTTTCTGGACTCAGCTTGATGATAATTTAGTCCTTCAAGAGGAAGAGGAAGTAACAAGGGGAACTGGTACTCTGGGCTGGATTTCCTTCCAACAAGGAGGAACTGATTGCTGAAATAGAATTGATGTGTGTTTATTGGGGAAATGCCTAAATACACCATCTTAAATTTTGTGATAGAGAAGGTGAGGAAATCGGTCATAGCCTGATGTGCCAATGGAGATTTTAGGAGAGTGGTTGCCAAGGATTTGTAGAATGGTCAGTTGGCTTTTCTGAACTAAAATTCTATAGCGGAAGTCAGACATGAGAAAAAGGAACTTTTGAGAAAATTTTAAGGTGAAAAGACAGTTCAGAAAGGAGGAAAAAGGATTGTGCTCTAGTGAAAATGACATGGATGCATAGGGAGCTCTCCAGCCAATTGAGACCAATTGAAGCCTAGAAATTCCAGACTAGAGGTCAGTGAAAGTGGTCCTGAAGGACAGGGACACGCACACACCCCACCCCCACTCCCAGAACTGACCTGGCGTTCCTGTATGGATAAAGAGGCAGGAGGCATTGTCTTTCCTGTCCTGATTGAGGCCAACTGGCTGTGGCATGTGAACACTTGTTATCACGGAAGGAGAAAACCAAAGACAAAGAGGCCGTTCCAGGCTAACCTTATTTCCCTGATGATTCCTAGAATAGTTGTTTAAGGGAATGCTGGGTATATAGTTTACCTAGATTTCAGCAAAACATTTGACAAAATAACTCTTGTTTTGTGTGGATGAGATGGAGAGGTGTAGGTGAGATAGTTCATTCAAGTCAGAAGTTCTTAACTTGGAGTTCAGGAAATTTCTTGTTTAAAGTATTTTGATAACTGTACCTCAGTGGCCAGTTTAAGTGGATTTGGAACAGGTGGCCTGGCTGAGCCCAAAGAGGAAGAGTCACTGGATCTGCTGTTGGCTTGTAAAGGTCTCTAATGCAGTGCCTTATGGATCTGTCTTTGGTGCTGTTAACATTTTTATCACTTTGTACCAGTTTTCTTGGATAAAGGCGTAGAGTCAGGAGTTCTCAAGCTTGTCAGTGCCATGGACCCCTCCTTGGCTGTCCTGTGAAGGCTGAGGATTCCCTCTCAGAATAGTGGTTTTTCAGTGCACAAAATAAAATACATAGGATTACAAAAGAGAACAGTTATACTGAAATGCTTTTGTACAAATATTTTTAAAAAACAAGTTCATAGACCCCAAGTGAAGGATCCCTGGCAGAAATAGGATGATATTCTTTTTATTTTTTTTAATTTTTTTTTCTGAAACTGATTTATTAAATAGGAAATAGATGGCACAGTTCATGTTACAAATAGTCAAGCTGCTGGGGGGTAGGGGGAGAGAAGAAGGGGAGGATAAAAATTTCCAAATAGAAATTTCTTTTCAGGTTACATCACAGGAACATGAGAGTCCTGATTCTAAAAATTTTTTAAAAGCACTAAATAGTACATATACAGGTTTCTTTTAAGACAAGGGAAAAGAAAAGTCCAATGACAAAAAAGTTCATATCCATATTTACTATAATTATCCCTTAAGGACAAGTATCTTTTGTAGGAAGTACGCAAAAACTTTCCACGGAGAGGCCACACTTCCACAAGATGATTAGATTAGGTAGACTTGGGTTTTGTTTCTGCATCTGTCGCTTGGCGAATGAAGATACCATCTTCAGGATGTTCATTGTCATCCGTTTCATACGTATATGATGATGCTATTGCAAGTGTGGTCCCATCATTACTGAAGGCAAGTGGTCCCATGCTAGTGGGATACCGATGGAATTGGCACAGTCGTTTCTTGTTGAATGGATCTCAGATATTAACAAATCCATCAGATGTACCTGTAGCAAATGTGTTGTGAATGTCGTGAAAGGAAATGGCATCGACAGGATAAATCTGCTCAATATTATTTTCTTTTAGTCTGTGACATTTGAATGCATATTTCTTCTTCTGTACCTCAGGACTTGGGTCCAAATATTCAACTGCCACTTCCCCTTCAATAGAACTTAACACATAACCCTGCATATCTGGAAATGCTCGTATGCAACGAATCTGGTATTTCAGACCAGACTCTCTTCTCTGCTGCACATAGCCCATATTCCTCAAGTCCCATACCAACACTCTCCGACCAGCTGTCCCCACAATTAATCTGTCTCCAGACACAGAGAGCGTGTAAACCTTTTCTGGCTGAGAAAAGGTTCCTGGATTACAAGGAGTTCTGGGATCCCACAGTTTAACTGTTTGATCCCAGCTTCCAGTCACCATAACATTCACTTCTGGATAATATTCAGTGCATCTAATAGGTGCATCATGGGTTCCAACAAGGTTTTCTCGATCAGTATTCAAATCATGCATTTTCAACTGATGATCCGATCCCCCACTCCCAGCACGTGTTGGGTCATAGAAAGCACAGTCGAGAACGGCGCCAGCGTGTTGGTATTTGAGGCGCATAGTGTTGGCAGGGACATCATAGAGCTGGACCGAAGTGTCCCAGGAGGAAACCAACAGGAACTGGGATGTGTTGGGGCTGAACTTCACCGAGGAGATGCCATCTTCTGGAGGCTGGTTCAACTTGAACTTATTAGATCCTGTCATCTTGTCTTCCGCTCGCAGGCCACCATCTGTTGCTCCTCACCGCCGTCTTCCTCAGTGATCTCTTCAATGGGATGATATTCTTGAAGGGTATCTGCTGCTTTGGATGACAGAGTCAGTAGCCAAACCTAGGACTCTAAGGTTTAGAAATTGACTTTGCATACATACTTTTATTTGATAAGTAGCTCTAGCCCCAAGTTTTTCCCATCTTTATTTACGTTACATTTTATTTTTTCAATCAACAAAAATCTGCTGCCTTTTCTTCCTCTCTCCTCTCTTGAAAAGAAAAACAAAACTTCCATTGTTCACACACACACACACACACACACACACACACACACACACACACACACACATATTTATATGTCAAGCCAAACAGTTCCTTCATTGGTCTGTGTCAGTCGGCATTCTTGAGTCCGTCACCTTCATGTCTCAGTAGGTGGGCAGCATGCTTCATCGTGGGGACTTTAGAATTGTGTGATTGGTCATTGTGCTGATCGGAGTTCCTAAGTCTTTCATAGTTGTTTGTCTTCCCAGTGATGTTAGGTATGAGTTAGGCCATCTGGTCCCCAAAGTTCCTTCCAATTTTGTGCTTCTCTACTTCTTTTAATTAGTACTTACACTAATGATAGCTCTTGAAGTCTGTGGAGGTTCTGAAAGAGTAATGGCCTCTATGATTTGTTTTAAAATCTCAGGTTTGACTTTGTCTTGAGTGATTTTAAATTGTTGCCATCTGGTGGTTATTCATTCTTCAATGTGAAACAGCTCCCAAATTGTAAAAATATCAGTGACCTAGAAAACACTAATTGTTATAATTATAGAGTCTCTGCCTATTCTACCCTCTTACCCTTCAGAATGTATGATCTCACATCACCGAGTGAAGCTTAAGTTGTAATAGTTGTGCCAACATTGAAAACTTATTTCTTCCACATTTTCAGTTTGAATTAAAAGAAGTTCTAATTGCAAGTGTGTTTTTAGCCAATTGGGTGGAATTGAGTTGTTACCATTGTTACAGGCCCTCTTGATTTTTTATTATTTGAATCCTTTTTTTTTTCCTGACAGGTTTGGAGAAGAAAGTATGAACCGATTAATCAAGTGGATGGAAAAATGCAAGATCCCATTGGATGCTTCAGTGCTTGACATTGGAACTGGAAATGGGATCTTTCTGGTTGAATTGGTTGGTATTTTTTAGTGTCTTGGGAGTAGTCAAACTTTTAAGTGGTCTTTCAAAAGAACTGCAATATTAACCGTCTGTGTCTAAAGCAATAACATCTTGCTTTGATAAAACTTCATTGTTCACTAATCTCATCAGTGTCAAGAGCCAAACCTTTTTTCCATAGAAAATACATGTTAAACTGGGTAGAACTGAGACTCTAGCTGGCCTTAGTTCACTTAGGAGTGATCCTTAAGGAGGAGGTCTAGTACCTGGGGGAAATGGAGGAACTCAGTCCCTGCCCCTATATTTTGGGTTGGACCAGACTCAGGCCAGTCCCACAGTCGGGGTCAGTACAGGAACAAAATGAGAGCTTGGAGATCGTGAACTAGTTGACAAAAGGAGGTTGACTCAGCCATAACTGTGAGATAAGGATATTTAACAAGGCTGAGCATTGAGAAACCTAAGGCTGACTGAGCGGAGGTGATGTCACTCTCCTGAGCCAGCCAAGCATCCCAGGGCACCTGGAGAGCCCGTTTTTACTCACATGACCAGGAAGTGATAACAGTAGCCCGAGCCTCAGTTCCCCAGCCCACCAAGTCTCAGGGATGTTCTCAGTAACTTGTATGGAAAAATTAGCCCGACTTGCCTGGGGGTTGGGGGGGACTTAGGCTGTTGTGCCTAACGTAGCTTGAATGCTTAGTGTTTCTTTGAGGAGATAGGACATGGATGTGACAAACCAGTTCCTGTACAGTATGGGGTGGGCCAGGCCAGTGTTTTTGAATGCGCAGAGTTCCCTGAATGTAGGATGGCTTCTGGAGGGAGGTTCCACCGAGAGCGTGATGTGAGCTGCTCTGGGAAGGGAGTGGGGCCCTCATCAGGGCTGACCTTGATTTGATGATCCTTTTGCTGGGCTTGTTTTCTTTTTCTTCTTCAATAGTTGAACTGTTTATTTAAGTTTTTTTAAAATTTATGTTTTATTTATTTTCAGAATTTTTAAAAAAATTTTGAATTCCAAATTCTCTCCCTCCCTCCAGTCTTTCCCCCACCCATTGAGAAGGCAGCAATATGATATCAATTATACATGGAAAGTCATGCAAAACATATTTCTGTATTGGCCATATTGCCAAAAAAAAGAAAAAGTAAGAAAAATAAAGTGAAAAAATATATACTTCAGTTTGCACTCAGAGTTCACCTCTCTCTGGAAGTGGATAGCATTTTTCATCTTGAATTCTTTTTACCAGGGCTTCTTAATCTGGGGTCTGTGAACTTTAAAAACAATTTTTTTTGATAACTGTCCCAATGTCCTTAATTTTCTTTGTAATAATTTGTATTTTATGCATTTAAAAATTATTGTGAAAGGAGTTTAAGAAGATACTGGGAGAAGGTTAAGAGCCCCTGATTTAGACTAGTTGGCGATCTGGAGAGAGCCACAAATTCTGGGCTAATTTGTTTGTGAGCTTGGATGGCTCAGAGACGGTCCCGCCACCTCGTCAGCCTTGCTGTGCACCGTCTGACCCCCACCCCTGGAGCACCTGAGCAACCTCTTGGCAGCTCAGCCTCCCTCTCAGTTTCCTCCTCTGTGTCAGACCAGTCACGTCATGGGGCGGGGAGGTCCTTGACTTGTGTGTGAATTAGATTTAAAGGAGGCAGAGCTGCACAAAGTCATCAGCCTAACTCTCTCCTCCAGAGGTGTTGGCGTCGGTGGCAGGACAAAAGTCAAGGTGACGGATCCCAGGATCCAGTGGATGACCGCACTCCGCAGCACCTGCTTCAGCCTCCTTCGTGGCCTTTGGAATAAATTGTTCTCCTCCACCCATTGTGCTGGGGAAAGGCCTTACGTGCAGGGGGTAAACTCCCTGTGGGTTTGAGGCCTGTCGGCTCTCCTCAACTTGCTGAGACAGTTTACCAGCATGTGGCTTCAGACCAAGCTTCTTGGAGCCACGGGGAAGAGACCTCCTCTGTACAAGAGTGCTGGTGACATCTGTCCTGCGCGGCTCGCCCAGTGGTTGTTATATGGGAAACGCCTTTGAAGACTGAGAAGTGCTAAACACAGTTACATTTGTTTGCATCATTTCATTGAGTCAGTTCTGATTGTGCAAAGGCAAATATCAATATCAGAATCTGAAACTGCTTATTTCCTGAGGAAATCCTTTTTGTCATTATTTTGGAATGTTTGAGAAAAGTATAATTTCTTTTGAAGAAGAAACCAAATAGTGTAAAAGGGAATAAATTGTTATGGCATTTGGACTTAAGTTTTTGGCTTCTATTCACATCCCTTTACAAATATTTAAATACTGTAATATTCAATAGATTATATGTCACTTGTTGGCTGTATTAAAAAAAATCCCTAAGGGGACGTGAGTACGTAGGCTAAATCGTATCTATTATACAGAATACATTGTTAATTTTTTTATCTTTAGGCAAAATTGGGATACTCTGATGTTACTGGAATTGATTACTCTCCTTTGGCAATACAGCTTTCTGGAAGAATAATAGAAAAGGAAGGTTTACCTAACATTAAGTTACAGGTAATTTTATTGTTATTAATGGTAAAAAAAAAAGACATTTTATATGTTCATCAGCCCCTTTTTTCATATACTGCATTTCTTTAAATTCAGGTGTAGTTATTTCAGTTACAAATGATGTGACTTGATATGGTTGTGTATATTACAGCAAGGACATAGTTTGGAGGAAAGTATTTGTCCTTTTGGAAAAAGTCTAATTAAATTATACCTAGTTCTGGCTGCAAGGCTGATAGAGGAGGAAGTCAGAGACCTACAGAATCAAATTCACGGCATCCCGAGGCCTTTGACTCGATTTTCTGCTTTTGGGCCAGGGAAGCTGAGTATCTTTGCTGCTGTTTGTTAGTCATTTCTTTCCTTGACAGCTTTGTGATTTTGTTTCAAGTATCCAGATTACTGGACATATTCCTAAAAGAAGGTTTATTGTCGACGTTCTGTTTTTATACCAGTCATTTCCTGATGTACTCATTTCATTTCCCTAAATCATTGAATGTACCCGTATAACCAAATAGATAAAACCAGCCAGCACAAAGCTCACTTCTGTGAGGAGATGGCAGCATCTCATCCTTCCTGCGGGGGGGGGGGGGAAAGATGTGTTTTATTATTAGTTCTCTAGGACAGAGATTGGCCATGATAAGTCTTTTGAGTTTGATAGCCTTTTACTGTTTTTTAGTTGTCCTTTTATAAATTGTTTTCTGGTTTTTTGTACTTCACTGCATCAGTTCATAGAAAGCTTTCTGGTTTTCTAAATTCTTCGGGCATTTTTTAATTGCACAGTATACAAAGCTTGTTCAGCCATTCCCCACATGATGTGTATCTACTTTCTTGGCAGTTTTTTTGCTACCAGAAAAGCCAACACATTTTCAGATGTGACTACAATAACACATTCCAAAGCCAAATGTAGGTGACTTGAGTATTTATCTAGGCAGAACTACTTTATTCATTTTATATAAATAATGGAGTTGACTAACATTGGCTTTTAAAAGGTTGCACGCTTCAAAATGTAGAAATCTTATTTGTTGTAAAGTGTAACCACCAACTTTTAAATCTACTTTAGAAAATTTGACATTAGAAAATTATTTTTATCATCCAGACCAGTGTTAAGCTCCACTTAGGATTGTAGGATTTATAACTAGAAGGAGCCTTGGAGATCCTGTTGCAGTCTCATTTTCTAGATGAGGAAAATGAGGCTCAGAGAACAGTATGCCAGAGGCAGTGATGAGGACAGCTGTAATTTGAGCCCATTTTATCGGATCGTAGAGTGAGGTTTAGATCTGACTGGGACCTTGGGCATCCTCTGACTCTAAAAGCAAGTATTCTCACTGTAGATTAATAAGGTACAACAAATGAAGGAGAAATTTGTTTCTTAGCTTGAGTTCTGAAAGGCAGCATGCTCCTTAATGTATTTTCATTACTTGTGAGTCAATGCGCACTCATTTACTTCTTTAAACCTTGCAGCACTAAGTATCAGTGCAAATGGTTAAGTGAAGCCGAGGAAGCTTTGATTTCCCATGTCTGCTGTTGCTTCATGAGCCAGAATTAGAACTTGGGGGTTTTAGACGTAGTCTTCTGTTTTGGCTTAATCATATTATTTTTCATTTTGGAAAGTAAGGCTAAACTTCTTTAAGCACAACCAGCTTTTTAGCAGACCAGGCCTGTGATCCCCACGTAATTCACTTTACTATTAGCAGGAGCCCTGGCTTTGATTTTTCTGGCTGTATCTCTAAGTGGTAGAGCTTTGGAGTGCAGTGGAAACAGCATGAATCTTCTTTAGTGGTTTGGCTGGTGGGAGCTAATCTGATCTTCTAAAAGCTGTTTAGTGTTTCAAAGGAGTCTTTGACGTTTTGATACAAATGTCTTATAAAAGCAAAACATGATGAGGATTGAAGTGATAATTCGTTTCATAGTATTCTATGTAGTTATCTAGATCCAAGGAAAGATTTGTGTCGGTTATAATTACACAAATCTGTATTTTTAATTTAGGTGGAAGACTTTTTGAATCCTTCCACCAGACTATCTGGATTTCATATTTGCATCGACAAAGGAACCTTTGACGCCATAAGCCTGAATCCTGACAGTGCATCTGAGAAGAGAAAGCAGTATGTGAAATCTCTCTCCAGGGCATTGCAAGATAAAGGCTTCTTTCTCATCACTTCTTGTAACTGGACTAAGGATGAGCTGCTAAATGAGTTCAGTGAAGGTAAATGGTCCACATGCAACTTTAAATGTAGTCTTGCTAAGGTTAATGTCATGGAAGTGTTTTCTTCTTTGCTGATGATTTATAACTCTCCTGTTGGTATGGAGTGTGGTTCTAGGCTAATAATGTTGATGTATGCTCAAAGTCTGTGACCCAGTTCATTAAGCAGACAAGTGCCTCAGTCACAAGACAGCACAGAGACATATGCAAGGGAAGGTCATAGAGTTCTTTGTAAATTTTGAAGTCAAATCACCTATCATCTATTAAGCATCTGCTGTGTGCCAGGCACTGTGCTAAGTGCTGATACAAACAAGGGTAATATAAAAGACAGCCCCTGCTTTCAAGGAGGATAAATTGGATATAATCTTAGGGGAAGGCACTTGCATTGAGAAAGATTAGGAAAGGTTTCTTGCAGAAGCTGAAATTTTGTGTCGGACTTGTCATGGAGGACAGCCAGTACAGATGTTTGGCGTTGGGGGAGGAAGTGTTTTGTTGGAGGACCAGAGAGGAGGCCAATGTCACTAGATCCCAGATGTGAATAAGACTAAGGTGTAAGAAGATTGAAGTGTGGGGGAGGGCAGATTGTGAAAGGCTTTGAAAGTCAAGCAGAAGATTGGTCCTGGAGGTCATGGGGAGCCATTGACATTGATTGAAGGGAATGATTTGGTCAGACTTGGGCTTTAGGAAGGTCGCTTTGACCGCTGACTGGAGGATGGATTGGAGCTGGGGGGGGGGGTGTCTTGAGGCAGCTGGATTCACCAGCAGCTACTGCAGTAGTCCAGGCAAGCCAAGCATGAGGTGAGCAGGGCCTGCCCCAGGGGGAGACAAGATGGAGCTGAAAAGTCTTGGCGGCAGATTGGGTCTGGGTGAGTGAGAGAGGGAGGAGTAGAGGAAGACCCCAAGGCTGTCAGGAGCCAACAGCAACAGGGAAGACTGGAAATCCTCCTAAGAAATCCTCAAAGAGGGGCAGCTAAGTGGTGCAGTGGCTAGAGTTCCAGCCTTGGATTCAGGAGGACCTGAGTTCAGATCCAGCCTCCTTACTAGCTGTGAAGTCACTGGGCAAGTCACTTAACCCTGATTGCCTCACCAAAAAGCAAAAAAAACCAAATTCTCAAAGGGAAGAGCTTGAAACACTTGGCCTCCGTGGACCTCCACGTACTGGCTTTCCAATTTGTCGTGCTCAGAGAATAAAATGAATAAGTGAGTGTTCTGTGCCACACACTTTGATGAGTCTGATTTTACTGACCCCTGGATATCATGGAGTTTTTAGTTTGAGGAAGAGGGAGATATCAAGGAGTTTTGTTCTTATTTTGCTCTCGGTATTTATAGAGCAATAGAAATGGTACTTAATGCTGCAAGGAATGTCAGTTTAGGAGGAAATTAAACATTTTCTCATGTCACTCTTATAAGGATATTTCTTGTCACAGAGAAACAATAGGCATTGCTTAGCATGGTGCCTGGCATGTGATAGGCGCTTAATAAATGCACAGAGCGCCAGGCCTGAAGTCAGGGAGACCTGAGTTCAAATCCAGCCTCAGATACTTCCTAGCTGTGTGACCCTGAGTGGGTCACTTAACCTTTATTTGCCTCAATTTCCTCACCTGTAAAGTAGGGATAATAATAGCACTTATGACACAGGGTTATTATGAGGATCAAATGAGATAATACTTGTCAGCTACTGAGGACAGTGCCCGGCACATAGTAGGTACTTTATAAATGTTAGCTATTGTCAGCATTATTATTATTATTATTATTATTATCATCATCATCATCATCATCATCATCATCATCATCATCATCATCATCATCATCATCATTAGTTGACTGACTAACTGGCATGTCTTACCTACATTCTCCTTTCTCTACTCATACCGCCAACCCCTTAGTTCAGGCCTTCGATCACCTCTTGCCTGGTCTACTGGAATGGTCTTTTTGTCTTCTGGTCTCCTTGTCTTGAATGATTCACTTCTCCTGTAGCTCTTCCTAGGGTTGGCTACAGCCTCATTTTCTAGTCTTTGTTTGTATGATGGCTCTGTGCCCAGCCTGTAGTCATTTGGGCTTCCTGGCCATGCCTTACCTAGAGCCCTTTGCCTGCCCTCATTGCCGTTCAAGGCCTCCATGCTTGGGAGGCTCTCTGGGCTGCTCTCATCTCCAGGAATCCATCCTCAACAAACCTTTCTTGCTTCCAAGGCGAGAGGGCCTTCCTAAAAGGGCTTGTTTTCGTTTGGTCTGTATTCTTGACGCGTTCTACCGTTTGACCCTCTACGTTCTGTTTTCTGTTATCTCTCTGTCTGGCTCATTACCACGATCGCGGCACCTTGTGGGTGCCTCCCTGTTCTGCCACAGCTTGTGCAGCCATGTCTTTCTGACCTTGGCCCCCGAGGGCTCTGCTCGTAGCAGGATGGACTCCTGGGGAGGAATCTTTGAGGAAAGGACGGTTGTGCTGGAGACTGTCTTCTTGTTACTTAGAGCATCTTAGGATCTCAAGGCAGAAGGTCTGCAGCAACTTTGCCTGAAGTGATTCTCTGTGATGGTTCTTGTGTCTGGTTAGCAGTGTGTGCTCACATATGTGTATGTGCATGTGCATGTGCACACACACATTGTAGGGAATGATTGGAGTTCTTAAGTCTTGTGGAGTTGTTTATCTTCACAATTTTGTTGTAATTGTGGAAATTCTTCCCCTGGCTCTGCTCACCTCACTCTGCGTCAGATTATCTCAGGCTTCTCCCAAATTATCCTTTTTGTTATCTCTTCAGGTGCCATTGCCTTCACACCCTATGCTTGGTTCAGCTCTTCTCCAGTTGATGGACACCCCTGAGTTTCTTGGCCACTACAAAAAGAGCTGCTGTCAATATTTCTTTACACGTGGGTCCTTTCCTTCTTTCTTTGATCTTTGTGGGGTATAGGCCTAGTAATGGTGTTTCTGAGTATGCAACTTGATGGCAAAGTTCCATATGTGCTGGAAATAGATCTTCCCTGATTACTTTGGGGGAAAATGTTGTGAGAAGGGAACATTTAATAGATGTGAAATGCCTTGAAACCTTTGGAAGTACACTCAGGTCGTAGTGATTGTATTTGTTCTTGGTCATTTCTGTCATGGAGACATTCCTAGGGAAGTTCTCCTTGGGAATCTTTGTGCCAGGCTTTCTTTAGCTTTCTCTTTAGACCAGTTGTCCATTTTATTGTAAGGGAGTGGAGGTGGGTGGGCGAGCTGTGCTTTTCAGGTGTGTAGCTGAAGTACAATGTAGGCGGCCTCCTCGGAGAACACAAACCACCTGCTGTAGCAGTGATAGATTAGCGTATGCACCCTGCCTTCTTCAAGTCAAGATGGTTTTCATTTGAGTAATAAAGCAGCAGCCCTTGGGGCTGACTCAACAAGGACCTTTTGTGTCTAGTCAATGACTCTCAGGTTCCAAGTGCTAGAACCTAGTTGCCCACTTTGGAATGTGTTTGAAGCTTGACCTGGAAGTGCCTGGCTTCATTGCTGTTTTCTACACGTGTATCTCCCAGGTTTAAGACTTGCCCTGATGCCCGTTGGGACCATGTGGTAGCAGCTCTTTACCCCCTTCATCGTGGCATTTAAAATGAATGCTCGGTATTCCTGCTGCCTGGCAGAGTGAGTCCCCTTTGCTGCCCATTTGCACCGCGTCTTCTCTTTCACCTCTTGGAGCTGTCAGACAGAACTTGTCTTTGTCGGTCCTTGATAATGAGGAACAGGCTTAGAGAGTGAAAAAACGGGTTTGAGAAAGGTGCCTTTAAGAAGGACATTGAATAAAGGCATAATAGACTTGGGTTTTAGAGCTTATTAAGTATAGCTTTTAGTCACGCTGCTGTTGGCAGGCGCTGGAGATGTTGGAGAACTCTGTAGTCAGAAATATTGATGTGTTTGCCTGAGTGGTTTGAAAGGGATCCTTGGAGTTCCACGTAGCACGCTGAAAGAGCATATGTATATGAGCCCTGCTTCAGGTTTTCATACCAGCCAGCTCCGGATTTTGTCCCAAGCTCACTTAAGTGCAGAACAGCTTTTGTTTTGCCTGCTTAAGAAAGGTTGTGGTTTCTTTTCTGTTTATGACTGACTTTTACTCAAAGCTACTACAGTGACTCTGCCTCAGTGGTGCCCCCGCATGCCTTCTTTCACAGCATTTATGAGTTTGAGCTGCTTGGCATGGCACTGGCTGATGACATGAAAGGGGGAAACAAGAAAAAACCCTGGTCTGGTGGTTGAATAGTCCAGGAAAAGGGACAGAGCTCCCTTCCCTCACAGTGGAATGCTTGTTTGCCCATTAGGTCATTTCATTGGAAAGACTGCGAGGTGTCTAGTGTGCTTTGGTAGTATCAGATGGCATGGTGGTGGGTTGGTTGTTGGCTTCCCTAGTTGGTGTGTAGCATCCAGTTCCAGAAAGCTATTGAGTATGTGTGGAATACTCACTGTGAGCTTTAGAGTCTGGCAGGTAACAAACCATCATCCAGCCTTTCCTTAGCCTGGTCCTTCCCGTTTGGGCCCTAACCCCCGCCTCCACCATACTTACTGATTTAATTTCCATTTCTGCTGAGTTACACCTGTTTTCTAAGCCGTATCTCCTTCTGTGTTTCAAAACTCATGGAAAAAAGATCAAGTGAGTTGGGTTACAATGAGAATGTAGGGAACTGAAGATGGGTGAACGTCTGCACTATGACAGGATGGCCCGGATGCTGACTTTCTGCCCTTTCCTTGCCCTGGCCAACTTACAGTTTTGGAGGGCTGGGCATGGTGGCCTCAGGAAGCTGTATAATGAAGGCTCAGCTCCAAGCTGTTCGGTACAGTCACCTGGCTTTGTAAAGAATGGGTCAGTGGAGTGCTGACTTGATGCCTCTGTGCCGAGACAAGAGTCAGCCCTAACGGAACCATTTTAATTCTGCCCTACAGGATTTGAAATTGTGGAAGAATTGCCAACGCCCACGTTTACCTTTGGAGGGAGATCTGGAAACAGTGTAACAGCATTGGTTTTCCAAAAAAAGTGAGGTCTTTCTCTGGACAAATCAATTTTCCTTTTGAAAAAGCCTGAATGTCAGGTTAATTCTGACAGAGGTAGACATGTCAGCAAATTGTTCCTCAGTACAAGCAAAACAGAGGGCCGAACATGCCGGATGCTTACAGTGGGGCGGTGAGAAATCCTGGACCTGCAAGGGGCTGGTTTGGAGAGACTGACAGAATTAGTTTGAATATATCTTATATTTGGGGTGTACATATTTTCTTATTTGACTAAAACAAATCTCTGTAATTGCTGAACAATTTAAAACGTGAAAGCAGTAAAGGAACTTTGTAGTTTTAATTGTGCATGTTGGTGTAATTTTTTGAACTTTGCTATTTGCCAAGACTTGACCAAAACTCCATTTCAGGTTCAAAATTTTTTTAAAAATCTGTTATTTTTATTTTTTAATTAAACTTTTTAAATTATAGCTAGTAAAGAATGCCACTTAATTTTGATTTAGGATTTCTGGTTTTTTTCCTACAATAAACTACCTTTCAGCTGTGTCTGGTGTGTAAATGGTAGCTCAACAATAATTCCTATTTCTACAGCTCTCAAGGGTTTACAAAGTGAGTAGTACAGACAGAAGCATTTCATCTTCTCAGTCTGAGTGGTCATGTCATTTGCCTGTGGTGCCTGTGTAGTAAACAGAAGAGGCAGGGACCCTGCAGGCACTCATGCTGTGCTGGGTGGAGTCTTCTGCCTCGTAATGGGCACATCAAGACAAAGATGGAAGTCAGGCAGGGAACGCCTCCTGGGATCGACATCTGGGCTTTGGGATGCGTGGGACAAGGAGGAGTCTTTTTGCCCTCAGAACTTACAGTCTAATGGGGGAAGCCGAACCACGCATGGACCTCACAGCTTTGAAGATGGTGTTTTTGTCAGTGGATATTCTTTCTTCCAGCTTTTCCAAGAAAGAGATGAGTATGGTGGGATTCAAAGCCCAAGTGTCGGAGGCCAGATTAGCAAGAGAAGATGATGGTGGAACTCAGGGCTCTGGTGTCTGGAGGTGGGGCACTCTCTTTGTACCTCCTTTGAATGGCTGCAACTTGGGGACGTGTGAGATTACATCGTAAAACAAACAGAATGATAATTCATTTGGCAAATATTAACTTCGCAAAGAGCCGATAGTGAGTCAGCCTCAAATTGCATCATTGCTGCTTTAGGAAATTCGTTGTTTCTTTTTTCCGATGAACACCGAAGGTTACCATTGAGAGGACATCGCTTGCCTTGCACCCATGGTCAGTATGAAGGCTGATAATTCTTCTTTTAATGTTCAGCTTCTTAGTGAGGGAAGCAGGGAGGGGTGATAATCTGGCCAAGACATAGTTCTTGCCCCCCCCCCCCCCGGAGCCTTTCCTGGCCTGGAAAAGCAATTATAGTCAGTATTACAAAAAAAAAAAAGAACTAAAGAAATTAGGTTGAAATGGGTCAAACTTTATTAAATATTTTTGAAAATTTGATGAATGTACCCAAATTCATCCAGCATCTGTTAAGTACCTACTCTGTGCATGGGACTGGAACTGCCAGGATAAACTAACAGAATGGTCCCTGACCTGGAGGAGCTTTCCTTCTCCTGGTGGCTGGGAGGTGGAGCACATCTCCACTTGGGACTGAGGATATCCCTGGCCATTCTCTGATACCAGGAGCTGCCGGTTGGGCAGCCAAGTAACCTTGACAGAGAGGCTGCTGGGTGCCAGGCCGTGCTACGTGATGGGAGCGCAAAGAAAGGCCCCAACCTTTCCCTCTGCTGATGCAGATCAGCATTTTCTGTGCAGCTTACAGCCCGGGAGGGTTGCCTAGAATTGCCCCAAGAATTCACTGAGAAGTGAAGCAATGGCTGCATTACGTCGCCAGGATATGTAAGAAGTAGCAGGACTCGGGCCTGATCTCCACCCACTGTGGAACTCGTTCTCCCTCTTGGGCAGCTGATGTGTAAATGCAGAGGACTCACAGAGTCCTCCACGAGGCCAGTGGATCTGGGACCTCACTGATGTGGGTGCCTTGCCACCATTCATGCCTCCCCACCTGGTGTTAGTCCTGCCTCATTTCAGGGATTGAGAGACCAAGCAACTTGGGTGGAGGGGAGGTACCAGAAGGGTCTTGTGCCACTTGAGCTGATGAGCCTTGAAGGAAGCTAGTGATGGTAAGAGGCTGAAGTGAAGAGAATATATTCCAGGAATGAGGGGCTGTTCTTGGTAGCATCATGGACAAGGGTGATAGAATACTGTCTGTGGGAAATAGCGGTTGGGCTGCCCTGGCCAGGCAGGACGTGGCCTACACAGTCAGCAAGAATGTGAGTGAAGTTTGGCAAGGTAGGCTCTAACCAGACTGTGAAGGGCTAGAGGCACCAAAGAAGGAGCTTTTATCCTGGAGGGAATAGGGAACCAGGAAATCTGAATAATGCTGCCTTGATAAATGGGAATATTGGGAGGAGGGATGTTGGATTTAAGGGGACAGATAATGAATTTCATTTTAGGTAAGTTGAGTGACATTCAGGTGGAAATGAGGTTCAGGAGAGAGAGAAGGAAGGGAGGGTCGGCTGGATAAAGATGATCCTTTCGAGTTAGTGGAGGGGCCCTTTCTCAGTGGGACCTAGCTGCCCATCAGGAGGAGTGCAAAGGAGACCCTGAAAAGGAAGAGGAAGCTAGGTAGAAGCCAGAAAGAGCAGGGAAGGCGAAAGAATGGATGAGAGGGTGGTGGGCGTCTGAGAACAGTGACAAATCAGAGAAAGCCGAGAGGACTGAAAAAATGTGATGGGATTGAGCAGTTAGAGGTCAAGGATGGTTAGAGAAGGTCGAGGCCTGGGCATTTGGAAGCCAAGTTTCAAAGGGCTGAGAAGTGAGTGAGGTGCTGAGGAAGTGCAGATGGCTTTTTCTAGGAATTTGGCTCCAAACGGGAGCAGAGATATCGAGGATGCTAGAGTGAAAGCCGAGCAGGGTCAAGGGAACTATTACCTCTGGGTTGTGTAGCCAAACTGGATAAATAGACGGCTTTATGACTAAAGTGACATTTGCTGATCTTTACAGACTTATTCCCGTGAACTTCCTTGGCTTTCAGATGCAGAAGTAGGAAAATGAACCACAGACTTTCCTGCTGTTTACAGTTGTCAGTGTATGGTCTGCATTAAAGCACTGGCACTCAACGCTGGCCTTCTCCAGTACCCTCTTGGGCCATCCCTGGTCCCTGGCTGGCACACAGTGTGCTTAGGACATGGCTCTGTGATGCCTCCGCTGCCCCCATTAGGCATGGTGTTGCAGAGGCGTTCTTGGTGATGTGAGACAAAGGAGCAGGGAAAGGCAGTCCTGGTGTTTTCTAACCAGATGAATCCAGCTGCAAAATGGACCCCAGGGGTTCAGATCTGAGCAGAGGGAGGCTCCACAAAATGTGGTCCAGAAATTAATACTTCAAAATCACACCAAAAGCCGTGGAAAACCCAGTCGGTCAGTGTCTCCCAGTCACTGAGATGTGAGGCGTAAAGCAGACACCCTCGTTATTAAAGTCTTTGGGCATTGTTAGATCAACTGATGGGGTGTGTGAGTGTGTGGAAGGAAGGACGGAGCGTTACTGAGCGGCAGCAATTTCTCTAGTGTGAGTGCTGCTTGCTGTGGAGAAGGAGTTGGAATTGTAATTTTATTTCATCAAAAGAAGCTCTCATTTGGGGGAACTTGTTTGAAATGTAAACGAGGCTGTTCCATGGGACTTGACAGAACTGTTGCTTTTCATTTTGATGTTTCTGCTCTCTGACAGGCTGCTTCTGTGTTCAGGAAGTGTGTATGGAAGTCCAAGGGAATCTGAGCCTTGAATGGGCGAGCCACACAAATAGAAAGTCCTCAGAACGTTTTGTTTTAAGCCAGGTGCACAAGCAGGAGTGCTTTGAGAGAGGGGCATTTGTGCAGCTGAGAATCCAACCTGACACCGACCTTGGCAGCTTCACTGAAGCCACTTTTTAAATAAAGACAAACTGTTCTTGAATGATTTTCCCAATTGTTGTAGGCTTAAATTTGCTTTTTTTTGTCATCTGCGATATGTTACCTATTTATTTCTGTGGTTCAGTACAAAAACAAATCATTCTCTGCATATATAGTTTCTTTGAATTCCTGGATTAAAAAAAGTAGTACAATAATGCAAATCTCTCTGCTGAAGGAAATTGACATGCAAAGAGAGCCCCATAGAAACCGACAGTTTTTAAGGACTGATATCAATAATTATGTTTTCTTTGGCATCAGAAAAGAAATAAGAGAGCACTCCATTCCACATTAATAGAAACTTTGTTTCACTTACTCTTAAAGAATGTTAATGTCTGTCTGTTTATCTGTCCCTCTATCTCTCCATCCATCCATGTATCTTCCCATCTATCTTTAGTGGCCCACAATAAAAATAAGGGCAGACTGTGGAAAGCTAGATGGTGTCCAGGCTGGTGCTGTCCTGCCCTGGAGATAGTCCTGGGTTTGATTTCTTGCCTCTGGCTCTGTGGGTGGAATGTGGCTCAGAGGCAGCACTCTGCTTCCGAGACAGAGAGAGAGCAAGCACCTTGTGTTCCACAGTCGACGTCCCTTCGGCTAATTAAGGAGGGGTGTTGATGGGACCTGAAAGGAGTCCTGTCTAGCACACTTCACCAGAAGAATGGGGCCCCGACCTAGGGCTTTAGTGTGTGGGAGGTGAGGCGCAGGCAAGGTTGGAGGACAATTGCATAGTGGGGAAAAATGAGGAGATCCTTAGTATTTCATTTGCCGAGGGAGGAAGCTGAGGTGGCCCTAACTGAAGAAGGAGCTCATGAGCATGTTTTATTAATAGTTAACAGAAGAAAATTAATGCTAATTTATTCTTCATATACACCATGCAGTTTGTTAGGGAAGTGGAAGAATGGTTTGGAATTCCTTGTTCAGTTGTTGGAGGCATAGAAATGAAGCTCTAAGCGGAGGAGACAGACAGCCAGGCATCCATCAGCGCTGAATGAAACAGGCACACAATAGACCTCACAGAGCCCAGGGAAGAGAAGCCTAATGAACATTCTGCCTCGGACCTTCGAAAAATCCCTGGAGCGCTCTTGAAAGATCATTCCTCTGTGGCTCAGATGTCAAGAAGAGATCCAGGAGCCCCAAAAGAAGGGAGCGAGTGCCTCACAAACTGTACAATGCATTAGGCGCATCATCAAAACTGTTCTGGTATGGGAACCTGCATTTGTCAGTGTGTGCATATGCAGCTTAATGGGCTCTCAGCCATGGCAGCCGGGAGGAAGCCCTACTTGAAAAGATGGCAGTAATTCTCAAGACCCCGGAATTGGAACGAAACTTCAAGGACCAAGATGTGTGGGCAGTGGGAATGTACTTTGTCATGCTGAAAGATGCCATTGTTAGAAGTACTTAGGAGGAGGTGTATGAAGAGGCCCCCGGTGCCTTCAGGCACTCGAAAATTGTAACTTGGGTATGAGGCACAACTTTATATGTAGAAATCAGCCAGCTAGATGAAGTCGGAAGAAACTGTTGTGAGGTGCACGTTTGAT